AAAAAAAAAAAAAAAATCAAAATTTTAAATTTAACTCAACTTCATTATTTTCAATATTGTCAATATAATTAAATAATATCAACCAAATCATTTTTACACATTACATTAACTTTAATTCACTATTTATCCACTCACATAATTTTAACTAACTATCACTTCCAATCATTTTTTTTTCCTACTTTTACATCAAATTAACTTTAATTATTTTATTTTTAATAATATAAATATAAATTTCAATTCTCACTAACAATTAATCACACCATATTTTTCAAAATTAACTATGGTTAAAAAAAATCAATAAAAAATCATTCAAATTCATATCCAATCACACCCTTAGGTACCCAATAGTTCAATTTTTCACAAAAAATTCGAAATTTATATATGCAACAAAAAATATGTATATATATAAAGATTGTTGGAAAAATACATAAATAGAAAATTTGACTAATAAATTAAATGGTTTGATTTACTAATCTAGAATATTTTTTTTAAAAACCACATGATTAATAACTTTCAAGTTATTTTGAAATAAAATTTATTGCATTTATTTAAGAAAAAACCGTTTAATTAATAACTTTTAAGATATTTTTTAAACAAATTCGGTTCAATTATTTAGGAAAAATATTGATTCAAATAAAAAAACCGATTCAGATCGAATGAATTAACTGTCATATGGATTAAATTAGTACGTGGCCTGTGCGATGCACGTGTCAAAGTTGTTAAATGAACTATTTTCAAAGGGATTGTTCATTTAAACCTGGAAAATAATAGATTTGGATCATTTGTTTTTCATCTCTTAATTTTGATCAGCATTGTTTTTTTAGTCATGACGTTAAACCTGAGTCTATTATCTCTGGTCCGTAAATTAATTTTATATTATCTCGCTAAAACGTTTATACTAATAATTTTTATTTTAGTATGTATATTTATTCCTTGAAGTAATTTACATATTCTTCCTCACCATATAATACTTAGTTTATTAATTTATTATTAAATTTCTTATCATATAATGTCGTTGTTATTTTTTTTATTAATGTTATTGAAGTAGTCTCCTTCTTCTTTTTATTTTATGTCATGAAAAATATTTAATGTAAGTTAATATTATTTATTAATGGAGTTAATTTAAATTATGTAAACCAATTTAAAATAAAATATTTTGTATAAATACTTTACAAAATAGACACACATTCTTTTAGAATTTAACTAGTTTTTGTCCCGTGCATTTGCACGGAAAACTATATGATACATGAAAAATAATAAAAATTATAAACAATAGTAAAAATCATAACAAATTCATTGAAAAAAATTAAGAAAAAAAATATAAATATTCTTAAACACTTCTTTATAAAACAACGTCGTGGTTTTTCTATCGTCAAAATCTCCCTCAGCTCAAATCAAAATCTTCAAACCCCACTGACTCGTAACTTTAAAAAGCGCCACGTATAATTGCTCATGACTAAATGCAGAACTCTTCAGTAGTAAGCCGACGTGCGACAGAGACTGTCTTTGACTCTTATTGATCATGTCATAGCATAGAAAACACTTCTTTATATGGTTTGTCCTCGACTCTTATTGATTGATAGAGATTGTCCTTGCTTCTTAATAAAAAAATACCATCTAAATATAAATGAGTAAATATAATATTAATTTTTTATATAAACAAAAAATTTAAAGTAATTGATAATGAGTATAGAATTACCCTTGCGGATTCAAGTTATTTCAACGATGTTTTTTTTATATATCTAAGATTTAATTTTTTTTTCTGATTTATATGAATATAAGCACATTTGACTAATTTTTATAAAATTTATTAAAAAAAGTTACTATCTTTTTGAAAAACTGATAAGATATTAAAATAATACTGTACTTAACATAAATGTGGGATTAATTAAAATAAATCTTTTTAATTTAGTCATTAACTAATTAAATTTAACTATAAAAAACCTTCTTAAATGTGAGATTAATGAGTAATTAATTAAAAAAGATGTAACTCCTTTTGGAGGGAAAGTGAAAATATTTTTATTAAATGTTTTATTAAATGGGATTAGCTAGCAATTATATATATATAGATTTTTTAATAATAATTAATCAACTTTGATTTAAAAAGTTATTAGAAAATAAATCCCTTTAATAATCAAGGGATTTTTCTAATTTGCATCATAAGGATTTATAGTTTTTTTTATCCTACTATGCAATGGAAATAAATTTTATAAGAATTTTATTATGTAAATAAATCAAAATAAAAATAACTTCATGGTTGACATAATATATAAAAAAATCACATGTTGAAATTTGAAAGAATAGTTAGTATATTTCAATTTTATTATCTGAGCAATAGTTAAATTATTTAATGCATATGGTCATTATCGCTTAAATGATAAATTATATTAATTTGAAGAATATTATATATATATATATATATATATATATATAATAATAAAATAAAGTTTAAGAAAAAAATATATTGGCAAAGATTAATTCACTAACTTGATTTTAATTGATTAATTGAAAGAAAAAGTTTGTCTAACCTGTTATGATTTTCTATAAATATTTTAGGATTAAAAGCCAATATTTGTGAAAAATATAATAATATGGTTAGAACTATTAATATGTTTTTATATTTATCTTGACCAAATTATTAGCAACGTGAATCATGGAAAATCAATTTTGTAGTTTATTATAATGGATATCAATGATATTATTGCAGATGTTAATAACATTATTCAAGGAAAAAATCTTTTTATCATATTTGATTTGATATGATTTGGAAACATGTATATGCAAGCAAGTAATGCATATATTTAAAAAGTTTTCAAATAAGCTATGCATTAAATGTTCTTAGATTTTTTTGCTACTATATTTAGTAAATATTTATTCTCTTTATATATATATATATATATATATATATGGTTGGGTTCAACCATTCAAGTGAGAATGGTGCTCAGTGAAAGAAATAAGAATAAATCAATATTAGATTGGATGATTTAATGGCTAAAAAAAGTCAAATTTATACCTTCATTAAGGGTAATCTAGACATTACCATTATACTTCACCATCCACATCAGCATGCCACATCACTTTCCATACACCTAACACACACAACACATGCACACACACATTCAACACACACACAAACAAACAAAGAAAACACACACATGCACTACTCACTCTCTCTCTCACACACATACACAAACACACACACACATATACACACACAGAGCAGCATCCTCGCCCGACCATCACCAGATCCGCCACGATGCTGCCGTCGGAAGCTCTCCCCCGCAGGCTTCTGACTTCTCTGACGGCCGCCGTTACAGTGTCGCAAGTCCGTCGGATTTCCATCACGGAGGCCGACAACTCCAATCATCATCCCATGTCTATCGCTCCGTCCCCGCCATCAGTGCTACACGTGAACATGGTGGTTTGTAGGGTCCACACCGGTGTCGCAGTCGTGGTCAACCGAAGGCCATAGCTTGCCGGCGAGCTCGACTGGAGCACGATGCCTTGCATTTGGCGGCCGGTTGTGGCCACACCGGCATCGTCGGAGAGCTCCTCACGGCGGCATCGCGGTCGAGGTCGGCCAGAATACCAGGGCTAACGGGTGAGGCTCCAGCAACGGCAGGGGGACGATCCTACAAAATAGAAAATTAGATGCAAAATTGGGGATTAAGGGTTCAATTTAATTTTTGAGAATTGGATAATGTTTAGGGACCTATTTACAATTTTGTAAATTTTTATTATTTTTTATTTTATTTCATGTAAAACTATATGATTTATAACAAAAATTTAGTGAATGCATATTAATGATAAGTAAAATGCACAATGCNAAAAAAAAAAAAAAACGTTATATGTGATTTAATATTATGCATATTAAAAATTACATGTATTGCAAACAACACTTTATTTATACACTAATTGTACATTAATGATTTTGATAATGCACATTATCGTAATGAAACTGCACTTTATTCACAAAAATTGTATTTCTGTTTCTTTTCTTCTGTTTAGTTTTTAAATCAATCACTTACGTTAGGCTAAAAGTTATGTTTAAAATACACGGATTGTGCATGTCGGCTACGTTCAGTTTCTGCAACAACTTAGAATACTATTTTTGGCCTTTTACCCATTTCTAAAATATTCGTTTGTACTTTGAGTCTTCACAAAAGTTGTATATATGCTTGTATTTTTTATATGCTCGAAGTACAAATATCGTTCTTGTTGTTTTTTGTCCTCTTGACGGCAACAGTGTTGCCGATTATTGAACCATTTTCCATCTTGATAATTGCTCTTAAATGTTCTATGTCTTCATAAGAGTTTTAGACATGCATCTTCAGATTGTATTGGAGTTGGAATAGGTTTAATAAACATTTTCTAACTGCAGTTATAATTGTAATAAGAATATTGTGCATGGTCTGATGAAAGATAATGGGAATAAGCATTGCCTTCCACCAAATTTTATATAGTACTTAACTTGAGTCGAACTATATATTAGGTTAAATTATATCTTATTGTAGGTTTGACGTCCTGCATTATTACGATCAATCAAACACGAGCATTGTTTTAGTCATTTCACGAGCTTGTATTCAAGGTGATGATTTTCTGTGCACGTATTCACTTTACTTGCTTGATATTATTATTATTGTCCATGTTTAAAATACCGTACCGTACCGGCCGATATTACTGGTAATATCGGATACCGGTGGTTTGACTGGTACGATTAACCTCTAAATATTGTTATGGCCTAAATACCGATTTCATACCGCAAAATATCGATTTTACCGAAAAATACCGGCGAAAATACCGGTCAAGATACCGATTTATACTAATTTTTTTAATAAAATATTTTTAATATGGTTTTATTACTATACTTATATGAATTGAAAGTTCTTCATTTGATTTTGCTATATTAACATTGTAATTAGATTTTAATTAATTTTAGTATTTATTAAAATTAATTTTATACAATATTTATATTTTAATAATAAATTAATTTAAAATTTATTGAAACTGGTCAAATAGACGGTAAAACCAATTGAACCATGTATAGGTGGCTTGTCCTGTAAGATTACCGGTACGATATTTAAAATACTGATTGTTGTATGTACATGTGACACATGCGTTCAGGCGATTATATATATATATATGGGTCGACGGGCAAACTCTAGTGAGTCCACTAGAGTCACACGACAATATGTTGATGGTTCACGCGTATTTTGCATGGTCTTTAGGGAAAAAAACTATATATATTGGTTGCTGATGGCAATCTACTCGTGCATTCAGAGTCGCGCGACGACATAAACCTTGGGTAATATATTTATGGCGTGTGTGCAATGGTGGTGATGTATGTTATTAACTTGGATAATTGTGCATTTTCTCTCCACCGAGTTGTTGTATACTCATTTCACTATTAACATTTTCAGGTCAAGTTCTGTGGTGTACTGGCGGTAGGACACAGTTAATTGTTACATTCATTACTCGCCATTCACTTATTATCAAATAAATATTATGGTTTGGTATGTTTTGAAAATTTTACAATTGTTATATTATGAGATGCATTTCTTTACAAATGTTTGGAATTGAGTTTTGTTATTATAAAATCTTTTACATTTTGAAGTTGTTAAATACAACGTTATATTTTTTGTGAGCGTGTTTTGGAGTTCAAATTATTGGTAGCCGACTAGCCATTGAGTCTGTTTAATTTTGTTGGATTTGACACGCCACTATTTTCAAAACTATAGTATTGATCTTTGGCATAAATATTGTTCAAATTTTGTTAGCTCTCATTTAAAAATGTAATATTTACTTTTATGAAAAATCAAGGTGTTTACAAATCGAATTGTGGACTTGTTGGGAGGAGTGAGTAACAACTAGTAACTTCTTTTCAATTAAAAAAATAAAAAATCCATTTTATATTGAACAAAAATCAATCCACCCATGCAAAGCCGACCATAACCTCACCTAGTGAAAGGATGAAGGACCACACTTCCACCTTAGCAAACATGTAGGACCCATTAGGGGAAGAAAGAAGAAAGGGTGTGCAACTAGAGAATCTCATCATCTTTTACAAATGTTTTTTCAATTGAAAACATGGTACACATCTGGCATTACATGGGTGCACAGTTGATATGCTAATCATGATATGGACAAACCCTGATTTCGAGCCGGTTTTGTGTCGGAACCGTGGATTCAGGGCTGAGGTTTGGAGGGCCATGAATCACCCCGAACTTATGCACAGGCTGATTCACTGAATCGCCAGTTGTGATTCCGGTTCCGGTTCGTAACCTGTCTGGCGGTTAAAAAATTACAAATATGTGACCCGATCAAACCACGGGCTCGGTTCAAGGCCCGTTGTCTCTGTGTCGGTTCGGGTCGAATAGACGGGTCGGACCGTGGCCGATTGAAAGTTAATGGAGCAATGAATAGGGAACTCAACAATAATTTGTCCAGCTCCATCCGTCGCATGACAGAGTACTATGACAAAGGTCATCGAGAGGAGAGGTTTGAGCAAGGCGAGTGGGTTCCTTTGAAGTTACGGCCGCACTGTCAGCAGACCATTTTACATAAGGCATTATATAAGCTAAGGAGTCATTCTTATGGGTCGTATCAGGTCAATGAAAGAGTAGGCGAGGTGGTGTGCCTGCGAATTCTCAAATTCACTCGATTATCCATGTTTCACAATTGAAAAAGAGCCTAGGTGATGCCCATGGGGTCCAGACTCGGTTGTCGACGGTGAGTCGGGAGGGACAACTTCTTGTGCTGCCTAGCCGGGAATTTGATTATCGGAGAGTAATGAGGGTTGGGCGATTTCATTGGGAGGTATTGATTGAGTGGGAGGATTTGCCGAAGGAGGAGGCGACTTGGGAGAACTTGCAAGATATCTGCAACCAATTTCTGAACTTTATCCTTTAGGGCAAGGATATACTTGAAGGAGACGAGAATAATGCGGACGAGGGTCGACTCCTCAAGAATGATTATAATCGTGCTTGACGTGCTCGTATTAAAGAGTCGGGGCAACCAACCGCAGGCGCGCAAGGGCGATGGCCAACCGCGATGCACAATCGGGCGCACCACAACAACAATTGAGCGCACGACAAGGCACAACAGCAACAGCAGCTGACGCACAACCAGGCACACAACGAGACCTTTCTTACTAGTCACTAGCCCCAAACAAAAAAGAACATTTTTAAAACGTGGTCACAACTTATATGTGGCAGGAGCTAAGTAGCAATATTGATATCTATTAGTTTTGCTTTTGTTAATTTTTGCCAAGTAGCAATATTGATATCTATTATTTTTATTTTTGATAAATTTTTATTCCATTGGACCTAATTGCAATTTCAATATTTTCTTCTTTATAAATTGTATCAAACGTTTTGACTTGAGACATAAGAAATAAAATACCAAAATTGCTACCTTTCTAGCAAAAACCCTAATGTATAATTGACGATGCCATTGCCGGTTATCGCAAATTAACTGCTCGATACACGATCTTATCTTCATCACTGTACCATCACTCCAACATGAATTTACCTTATTTTTATTTTTACTTGAATGACTTAAAAATGTTACTATAAAGAGAAACGGAAATGATTATTTATGCTAACAAAAGAGATAATTTAATTTTAAACCGAACATAATATGCTTCCCTTCCCATAGTTGTGAGCCATCCCTCCATCATCACAATTACAGTAACACAACTCTCCTGCACGAGGTGCAATGTACAATTCCAAAAGTTAAAAACTTTCCCGAGTTCATATCCTCTGCTGCTCTTAAACTCGCTGTCCTTTTCCATACCCCAAAAGTTAATTTTACTACACAGTAATAAATATTCCTGCAACTGCAATCGCCCCCTTTTTTACCCCTTCTTTTCTCCGTCTCATCATCACCATCTTCCCCACGTGAACTCTGAGAATCTCTGAACTACCCATGGGCCCCACACTCCCATTCATTTTTCCTTTTTTTTTTTCCCTTTTNGCAATTGATTATTTTAACTATAGGGCTATCGTACTATACAAAATTGTCTTTTTCCAAAATAAGCCCTCATTACTTAATTAATTAATATCTTTCTCATTTTCTTTTTCAGCTCCACTCATACCAATGGAGGCTCGGCGGCTGATCGTCGGAAAAGAAAGTGCTGCAAGATTCCTCTCCAAAAAAATTGTGCTCCTCAATCTTCACGAACTGTAGCTGATGATGTTGGTGTTGAACGATACCATCTTTTCCGCCTTCAAATTGGAAATTTTCTAGACTCATATTGTTATTATTATCATTATTATTGTTGATGTTATCCTCGTTTAAGATCGCGCTCGAATTATCACTGTCCGATGACCCGTCTTTCAAATCACCAAAACCCAACAGCTCATCGTGACTCGAAATTAACAGATCTCCATTTTTATCATCTTTGAGGTTTTCGGATTCAGAGTCCTTTTCGGGCTTGGGAATGGTAATCGGAGTTTGCAGCTTCTTTTCATCGTCTTCCTCTGACTTACTGTTGAGACCGTCCTCGTTTATCTTCGATTTCAGCTCTTCAATCTGCAGATTTTAGAAAGAGAAAAAAAAAAAGTGATTATTAATTACGGCCAGTAAAAGTTAGCTAAAGAATTCAGTAAGACAGAAAATTCACCTCTTTGATTAACGCTTGGTTATCACGCTGAAGTTTGTGAAAATCGAGGTTGAGGCCATCGTAATTGGCCTTGAGCAGGCCGTAATCTCTCTCCAGCTGCTTGGTCTTCCACCGCGCACGGCGGTTCTGGAACCAAACCGCCACCTGGCGCGGCTGCAAGCCGAGTTCGTGAGCCAGCTTCACTTTCCTCTCCGGCTCAAGCTTGTTCTCTACCTCGAAGTGCTTCTCAAGGGCCTTGACCTGGTCAACGCTCAGCCTCCTCTTCTTTTCCGAACCTGCCAGCTGGCACGATTCCTCATCGTACTCCGCAACCATTGCCTGACCGTACGAGTACACGGGATTATTATTCCCCTGCACCTCGTCTGCAATATTTCAGGGATTTTAAATGTTTAATTAATTTACAAAGTAATCATTATTTTTCATTTAATATTTTGGACCAGCTAAGCTAAAAAGAGAAAGTTCTTGATTTGAACAATTCATATAAGATTTTTTTTTTTCTCCGGGTGCTATGCTATGATTTATGATTACTTTGGAATATACAGATTAGGGACAGGAAAACATGATTCTCTTCGGTTTTCTCAATTTTTTTTTAATATCAATTAAGCAACTACGCAGGATTTAAGAAAATTATTTTCTATCTTTTTTTTTTTCTATTTGAAAGACAAAAGCACCTGTTGAATTGGGACAGATGGACATGAAAGCACCCAAGGAATCGGAGCTGCCATGTCTCTTCATCCTTTCTTCTTGATGACTTTAGCCAAAAGAAAACGACACCGTATTGGAATAAACTTACAGATCTCTCAGATCTCCTTCAAAACCCACCAGCTTTGAAGAAAAAGGTTCGATTTTTAGAGAAAGTGAGATAGAGAGAAGGAAAAGAGAAAAGAAGATGAGTGAGAAAGCTCAAAGTGAGAGAGCGTTTTTTTATCAATTGCAAATTACAAGAAATGGCAGAGGCCAAACTCCGATGATAAAAACAATCCCAAGAGGGCACAGTTTTGTATGCATGTAGAAGTATTATTATTACTGTGCAGCCTTTTTCTCTCTCTTCCCAGCTCCTTTTTTATCATCTCTTTCTTCTCTACACCCATCAAAAAGGGGGAATTAATAAAAAAAAATAGAAAGAAAAGTAAATTAACTAATTAAAAGTCCCACAGTCCAAGAAATGAAATTTTATAAGATGAAAAATAGAGTCTTGGTGCCAAATTTCAAAACCCACAATACAGAAACATCTGAAATTGCCCAAAAACAGGAGTAATCAAATTAATTTTCTTGCTTCACATGATTGATTACCCAATCAATTCAAGAAAAACCATGATTCTTGAAAGAACAATGTTCTAAAACTGTTCACCTGCATAAGAAATTAATCCTAGGGGGATTGGTGGGTAGGGGATGGGGATGTGATAGCGCTATGAGGGCCAATTAACCAATTTCCAGTCTTTAAATAAACTAAACCGAGGTCTCTCTTACATGGTTAAATACTGACTACGGTTAGGTCCAAGTTTGCATGTTGGGGTTTGGATACTAGGTGCTATTTTTTTTTTTATTTTTTTTTTAATTTTTTCTTTTGCAATACTAATATTGGATACAAATTTTTCATTTAAACTCTTATATTTATTTAATCCAACATAACTCTTCTCAATTTTCATAATATAATAAAATAATATACACAATTATTACCACATAATTTTTTTTTTTAAAAAAAATACTATTCATCAATTCACATATTTTTATTACCATCATTTGTAATTAGTATTTTGCTACTTTTATGTCACAACAAATGTAATCATTATTTTTTATCATATATCTATTCACAAGCTTAAAACTAATTCATTATTCTACTCAATCAATCTAATTTTTTTTAACTCATTTTATTCAATAAAATCAAATCAATTTCAGAAAAACTTAATTACTTGCAATTGCAGCTTAATATTACATAATTTACGTATGAGGCAAACAATTGTTAGGCGCCTCCATTTGTCATATTTGTTTTAATTAACAAAATCAAATATTTATTACTAATATTAATTTTATAATTTAAAAGTTTCATATATATTTAGAAAATATAATTATATAACCATTACTTGCAGGATAGTAACTTTAACCAGTTTTTTTATTATTTTTGGTGAACCAAATGAAATGAACCCCAAATGCAAGGCAAATATTCAAAGTTCCTGGTCCACATAGCAACGTACGCTCAAAATATACTAGTAAAATATTTTTTATCAATAATAAATCCTTTAAATACGTCATTATCGTGTTTATTAAGTTTATAAGAGCTTGTGATAAGTGGGGAAATTTTATACGGCGTCGTGGAGTGTCAATCGGCTTGAGCCGAGCCATATTTGGAGATTTATATGGCGTCAGCAGATCACGGGTGTAACAACCGCGTGGTCGGTGCCCATGGAAACCGGAAGTAGTGATGTTTCATTTTGATACTGATTTTAATTTTTGGCAAATTTGATGACATAATATTTTTTTTTATAAAAATATTATACCAAATATTACAACCAAATTAATAAATTCTAAGATGTTTGTGATCTAACCATATGAACCTATTTTGCAGACGATTTGCTCAAATTTATGGAGTTCTTTTTTATCCATTTTTTTATGCTATGAAAAAACAAAAGAGGGGAATGTTGTCTTTTTTTAATTCATTTATGTAATTTTCCTACCATATTTGAAAAAAATGTAAGAAAAAAATAGATTTGTACCTATTCTGGTTCTATTTTTAGTAAATGAGAAATTAATTTTAAATTGTATATGTGCAAAATATGAATTTTAGACTCAAAATTATGTGAACAACCAGCTTGCAACTTGAGTTTACTTATGGATACTTAATTTGCTATTTTGACGAAATATATCACGAACAAAGTGCCAAAGTACAAAAGTAACAGATTCTTGCTTGTTTCAGATGAGGATTTTTTTTTTTAGCTAATCAACTTTGAACGGTAAATTTGCAAAAACAGACACCAACCCACTTTCACCTGGCTAATTAAAGTGGGAAAATCAAAATATTGAATAATACCAAGAATACCCCCTTTCACCTTTTGAGGAAAAAAGAAAACAACTATTGTCCCTACCTTTCACCAACGGGTAATTTCATTTCATTTCTTCTGCAAAAAATTGAATTTCTAAATATAAATTTGAGAGTATTTTGGATTTGTTCGTAGTTTTGTACATTGACTGCACACATTTAATTTGCTAGTATGATAAACCGATCAATCCAGTAACCAAACTTTCATAAGATAATAAATATATGAGTAATAGATATATATATATTAGCAAGCAATAGCTCAAGTACTGAAAAATCAACAATCCTTTTAACAAAGTAGACTGAAATGTGAAAAATTTTGAAAAGCTGAGTTTTTTGTTTTTGTTTTCAAAAGCATGAACAACTGATATTCTTGTGCTTGTACTAAAAAGATAAAAGCTCAATGCTGGATTTGTGGTCCAAATAGTTTTGTTAAAAACAAAAGCAATTAATGGACCATTTTTTTGGTGTAACGTTTAGCCAAAAATATCGATAACATAGTCACAATCTGGTCACCACCACTGCTAAAGTAATGGTATTAGAAAGTTGAAAAAGAAAAATACTTGTATCATGAATTATTATATTTCATATTTTTTTAACGCATTTTACGATTAAAATATTCGTGTTTGATAACAAAACTATGATTGTGCAAGTTTAAGCATGGGTGGCAAGAACTTTACTAAGTTGAAGTGTTTTGAACCAACGTTGCCAAGGCACGGAAAAAATAAAATTCCATCTGACATGATGAAGTGTCTGATTATAGGCTAAATTAGCCTTTGTTCTATGGTCTATAAAGTCATTGACAAAATTCTTGCCAATAGATTGAAGAGAGTCTTGAATGTATGTATTTCTGAGTCTCAATTTGCCTTTGTTCCGAGAAGGCATATTCTTGATAATGCGATCATTGCAAACGAGTGCATACACTTCTTAAACAATAGGAGAAAAGGCAAAAATAAATTCGTGGCTGTGAAATTAGACATGGAAAAAGCTTATGATAAAATTAAATTAGGGGGTTTTTAGTGAAGATTTGTAGAAGAATGGGGTTTAAAAATGTTTTTATCAACTGGATTCAGAGCTGCATAAGTACTACTTCATTTTCTTTTAATGTAGATGGGCAACCTTTGGGTTTTGTTAGACCTTCTAAGGGCATAAGACAAGAAGACCCTTTGTCTCCCTACTTGTTCATTCTTCTCTCTGAAGCATTGTCTAATCTGTTGAAACAAGCCTGTGTGAGTCAGTCTTTTAGTGGTCTTAGAATTAGTAGAAACTCATTTAGTATTTCTCATCTTTTTTTTTTTTTCTGATGATGCCCTATTATTTTGCAAAGCTGACATTAATCATGCTTACCAAATCCTGAATATCCTGAATAATTATGGTTCATCTGTGCAGGCTGTTAATTTGAGTAAATCCTCGGTATTCTTTTCCAAAAGCACTCAGAATAGTAGTAAAGCTGAAATTTGCAGAATCCTTAATGGTATTTCTAGTGTTAAGTACTCCAAATATCTGAGTTTACCTCTTGGGATTGGAAGATCCAAATCAGAGACTTTTAAATTCATTTCCGAGAGTGTTAAGAAAAAAAAAAAAGAATGGGCAATTGAATTTTTGGTGGGGTAAACATCAGGATGGGGGTAACAAAATGCATTGGATAGATTGGAATGAGGTTGCTAAGCGTAAGTCTTTTGGTGGTTTAGGATTTAAAGATTTCGGAGTTTTCAACAAGATGCTCTTAGCTAAACAGTTGTGGAGAGTGGTAACTCATCCTAACATTTTGATGAGCAAAGTCATGAGAGGTAAATACTTATTCAAAGAGTGTTTATTTAGTGTTAAAAAAAAAAGAGTAGGGATTCTTGGCTTTGGAGGAGCTGGTTAGGGGCTAGGGAAATTTTAGAAAAATGAGTTGGGTTAAAATAAGAGATGGGAGATCGACTAGAATTTGGGATAGCCCTTGGCTGCAAAGTATAACTGGCAAAAAACCTGTCTACCAGTTCTCAGATGATAGGATAGGCTTGTGTTTGTGAGTGATTTATTGAGGATAGATAGGTATGAGTTGGATGAAGAGCTGATTAACCAATCATTCGATCCTTTTGTGGCTTAACAAATCATCAAAATCCCATTCAATGTTAGTGATCAGAGAGATATGATGGTCTGACATTTTCATAAGAAAGGGCTTGTTTTCAGTCAAAGCCAGTTATGAGTTTATTTTGACAGATCTTCATAAGAAAGAAGGTCAAGTACTCATAGTACTGATGAGCAGAAATTGTGGAAACTACATATCAAGAATATAATGAAGAATTTCATGTGGAGAAGCTGGTATGGGATCTTAGGTACCAACCTAAAGCTGCAAAAAAGAGTGATGACAGTGGATGACATCTGCCATACCTATGGGGAAGGACAAGAGGACCTTGATCACATGTTCTTTAATTGTCAAAGGACCAAGATTTGTTGGAAGTTAGTGGGAATAGAGTGGAAGATACTGGAAACGAGTAACAGTACATTTAGGGACTGGCGGACTGAAATCTCTAGTGCTTATAATTCTAAATCCAACAAAGATAGAATATGTCTTTCAACATATTTACTTTGGTGGATTTGGAAAACTAGAAACCATTAGATGTTTGAGAAGAACTGGTGGACTAAAATTGAGGTGGCGAACAAAGCAATTAGAGATTGGGAAAAATTCAGACCAGTGGACAAAATGCAAGAA